TCCACTTTCTCTTGATGGCCAACCTTTTGAAACTGTGGCAAATTTTAAATACCTTGGGTCATTCCTGGACAGTCAGCTCAACTTTGCTGAAAACACTGACTATATTTTGAAGAACTGTTCTCTGAGACTCCACCTTTTAAGAAGACTTAGTGATCATGGGGTGACCCAACTAGACTCTAGTTGGGTCACCCCTATGTTTTGAATTTGGGGGAAAAAAAAATCATATTTTATTTATCACTACAGAAGGGTTCATTGAATGCGCATATGAAACTGGTGGGTTCGGTACCTCAAAAAAGGTTAAGAACCACTGCCTTAGAGAGTTAAAACTTCATCACAGTTCATGCCTCCAGGAAGTAAACATGTCTCCATAGACCCTCTGAACAAAGCAAAGTGCAGAACAAGGAGCTGGTTTTTACCAGGCTAGCTGTTTGGAGCTTGGTGGTAGACCTCAATGCAGCCGTGTCAAATGCAATCCTTAAAAAAATGGCTAACTGATGTTATGGATGATCAATTTTAAGTCAAAAAATTGATAATATGCTTAAATTATTACTTGTATGTTAATCTTTGACACCGTGTTTGTAATTCTATTATTTAGAATCTTTTTGTATAAAAACTTTAATATGAGTGTATTGAGTTAATATGGATTAATATCAGTGATCGGGGATTTTAATTAGCTGCATAACATGCTCACCAGTTTCTAATATGTTTAATTAACTTTAATGCAACTTTTCCTCTAACCGTTTGAATAGGCTGACTTTTACTGCAGTTACTAATACAGATTGTTCCCATAAGAGATAAACAAATGAATACCTATATTATTTCAACATAGCTACTATCTTGAAACTATTCTCTTTTCACAGCCTTCAAAGCTAATATTACCTTGCTTAAAATGGATAAGAGTCTGAGTTCTGTGAGCATTTTATTTTTGGGTTTTAGTACACTTTGAGTAAGGTTAAATCACACCACAGCTATTTAAACCTGGAAATACCACACTTTTAAACCAAACAGCATAGATGTTTTATATAATGTCTTTGTTGAAAAGAGGAAAAAAAGACACTGCCAATTTGACATTAGGTCACGCAAAGTCCAAAGAATCTAAAGGCACATGCAGGCTTGCACTTTTATGATGGTGTTATTTTGTCCTTAATGAGCTTAAGAAGCCAAGACCCATTATTCCTAAACACATGTGGGCTGATTTCACATCTCCAGCTGTATGAATACATAGTAGTGGAAAGAAAGAAACGCATGCTGTCTAATCATGGGGCCAAAGCATGTTCAAACTAAAATTAAAGTTTACAGCAATGTCAAAAATACAACTAATGCAGTCAATACCAAGACAACGTTGCTTTTGCATGAAGCATACTAGGAGGGAATCAGGTTCACACCAGGCACCTTATTAATTAAGACTTATTCTCTACAGAAACATGGTGAATACTTAGAAAACATATTGGTGTATTCATAAACCAATTTAATTTTGGACATACTGATCAACTTGACATGAGGGAATAACAGACCCCTTTGACATTTCATTAGAACCCATGTTACCTATGAAAGTCTATCATAGCAGAAATATTTCATGATTTAATTTACTCCTCTTTGTTTTAGTTTCTATAAAACCTACAGAAATATCCACAAACTATGTTGAATCATAAGTTCCCTATCAGGCAAATGCAACAAAAAACATTCAGTAAAAAGCTGAATAAAAAAAAAACTTACTATATGTAGGATATTTCCATTTATGGGAGAGAAACAAGGAACTGAAATGCTATAGTGCAGATAGTAACACTATGTAGCTAATTTTCTAGGCTTGGTCCGATGTTTTCTAGAACATGAAAGCACCTTCTCAATAATGTTGATTTCTATATTATTGTAAGTAGCTAAATCCAGCTGTCTGTGCAAGTCACTCTTTGTAGCTACTTTGAGAATTTATCCTCCAAGTTCTCAGTGTAAACATGAAATAAATTACATTTTAGCTTAGTTTAAACCATGCACGTTTCTTTTTTCAACAACAATGTAATAGTCAGGCTGGAGCTAATCAACTTTGCATGTGGCTACTTGAAAATGCTGACTATTAAGCCATAATGGATAATAACTTTTGAGTCTGGTAAAAAAAAAAAACCCTGCTAATGCAAAGGGATTTTTTCCAACACTTTGGACAGCTTTAATATCCGCTCATGTAATGGCAAACATGTGAATGTATAAACAGGGCTCTTCAACCAGTCCCCGAAGGCCAGCATCCTGTAACTTTTAGATGTGTCCCTGATTCAACACAACTGAATCAAATGACTGATTATCTTCTTGGTATGCAGCCAGGTTCTCCACAGTCCTGCTGATTACCTGATTATTTAACTCAGGTGTGTTGAAGCAGACACACGTCTAACAGTTGCAGTGTACCGGAGTTAAACACCCCTGGACTATAAACTGTTTGTCATTGCTCTGTTATGTACATGAGACCCATTAAATTCAGAATGAAACCCCTTGGTGATGACACGTAACAGAACATGACACTTATTTCGTAAACTTTAAGCAAATACTAAAGCAGTGTGTTAAACCTGAATGTACCTCAATAATCAGCAGTTTGGAGGACGATGTTACCAACAACATGAAGTGGCTTTCTGCATGACTCAATCTGTTCCTTACATAATTATATCAGAATTTAGGCCCACTCTGACTCAATGTTGTAACAGTTTATTGACATTTGCAGCAGTGTTGGCTTTTGCACAGCCTGACTATAGTTTGGACTTTGGTAAGTGAAAATATCTTGATTTTTTTCCTTCTCAGTGTAGATTCTGTATGTTATTTAGATCATGGTCCTATAAACCTAGCCTGAGACACACTTCAGACTAATAGTCTCCATTATAAGTGTTTGTAGTTGATTCAGCTTAGTTGTAAAACAAGCTCATGTCATTTACCCTCCGCCAGCAGAATGGCTGTTTGCTTTTTTTTTTTTTTATATTACAGCATAACACCTTAGCTGCTGTCAGGTAAACATTGTTCTACTTGTTAAAAGCTCAGTAGGTTACCAGTTTCAACCAGAAATCAGCTTGACCATTTTGACCAAGACTGATTAGTTTTACTTTCCTTTGGGTTGGGAACAGACCACAGCTGAGACAGTAATTAATACCT